TAAGCGAAGTACAGTTGTTGACTGTCGGAACGGATAGAAAGGTTGGCTACTGGGAAGTGCATGATGGATCACAGATTCGTGAACTTGAAGCTTCAAGATCTGGCTCAATTAATGGTTTGGATTTCAGTGCTGATGGAACTATTTTCGTTACAGGAGGAGATGATAAAATTGTCAAGGTGCGGATGTTAGTTTATACCCGCTACTTACAATATTTTAGTAGAAATATTTTCAAGTTAAAATTTTGCCAGATTAATAGGTGAACTTATACGCAGTGATTTACTATTATGCGTAAGTGCACAAAGAAGGCGTTACATAATTGAACAATAACTTTCATCTGAAATTAAATTTTTAGTGCTTACGTTCCGAGTGCGATTTATCATTCTCGGTCATTCAAACTGATTTAAATAAACAAGGTTCCACAAAATATACAAGGACGTAAATGTTCATATTAGAAAAAATTCAGAAACTCTTATGATTTTCAATTCAATAGTCTTTAAATTAAATTAAACTGAAGCAAATAATCACCGGCATATCAAAACCCAAAAGTTTAAAAGGTAAAAAAATTGGCACATTTACTAAGGCAAAGTTGCGTCCCTTGAAGGTTGTAATATGATAGGGATATTCTGCACTATAATTTGCTGAATAGGATCGACCGGGTTCAATAGCCAATTAAAGCACTTGTTGTGAACCCATGAGCGTCGATTTTGTGACCTCTGACTTGAAAACTATTTATGTCAACTACTCTGCAGTCGGTCACATGCAAAAGGGCCTTTAACACTTACCAAAATAGGTTCTGGTTAAACGTCTCAAGTTAAGAAAAATTAATTTCCACTACCCTTTTGTCTAATAAATTGCGTTTTCATCCCTTTAAAGGTCTGGCGCTACAACGAAGGTGACGTGACACACGTTGGACTTGGCCATTCGGCAACCATTTCTCGACTCCGAATCTCGCCCGACCAACGACTGATTGTCAGTGTCAGTGAAGATGGAGGGATCTTTCTCTGGGATCTACCGCCACATTAACTCACATTTCTTGATGTTCTACCTTAATGATATGTTGTCACTTATTGGCAAATAGAATTGCTTAGATCTAGCAGTGTTACCCCAATGTTTTTTGGCTCTTTATATATAGCCTCTAATCTAACCCAGTTTGTCAGCTTGGAACCAAAAGAAAATAAAGTATACAACTTATTGCTCAAACAATGATTTATATTTGTCGTCATGTCAAGAAAGCCCACCTGTTTAGATGTAGTTTGGATGCAAAGGATAGTGTCTATTCACAGGACTTTCAAAGGTTTGCTCAAGATATCTGAAATATTCTATATCGAATCTTCTTCCATTTTGCACCGTCGACTTTTTAACTCAGTGGTTGGGCTGGTGAGAACAAAAAGGTAAAATCAACTTGCCTATGTTAGACAAATTGGGTTAAAGGGGACTCATTGAATGATATAAAGACAAGTAACTAGTAGAAGAGAATTATGAAAAGCGTGTGTACGAAGTAAATAGAAAAATGTAATATTATTAGGATAGCCCAACTTATTCTGTAATTACAATAAAGAAACTTTGACGTGAGGAAATTTCGGAAAGAAAAGACTCATGAACCCCGATAACTTTCTATTGTTCCTAGAATGAAGAAAGCCACTTCAGACACCTTAAAACACTCTTCTGTTCATCACCCCTCTTGAATTTTTCGATTTGATGTTCCCCTCCCCCTGCGAAGCCTGAAGTCAACTAAAGGGCTAATGATGAACCTTCTCTCTGTGAAGACCGAAGTCAGCTAAATGGCTCGAACCTTCCCTCTATGAAGCCCGAAGTCAATTAAAGGGCTACCTCTGTTAAGCCTGAAGTCAACTAAAGGGCTAATGGAAACTATCAAAACGCCTGCCATTTGATATAAATAAATAAATATTGAAGTCAAAAACTAAAGTGGAAATCCATTCACATTCAATTTAAAGGAGATTTTCCAAAAAAATGTTTGATAAGAGATAATATTCCCTTAACGGAGTTAAAAATTGTTATTTTAAATTTAACCTAAAGATGGAATTTTGGAATGTGTCTCTGTTAACCTGATTTAATTTCAAAGACGCTAAATATGCCTTTTGTCAACAGACAAATTGGAACACATCTTTGAAATACAAATTTGTATAACTAACGAAGCTTTCAAGGCCAAACACTAACTGGGTGAAATGATCTTGTGGGACACGTTATCGCTCTGTGCGTCATCGCATGTCTGCTCGCCAGGATTGGGCGGTGCGGCCGTACAACTCTGTGGGCAGCGACCGTACAGTGCATCGTATGCCTGCATGTCTGCTGCCAGGATTGGGAGGTACGGCCAACTCTGTGTGCAGCGACCGTACAAACAGTGGCCAATCACTAGAACCTCAGCGACCGCACGTCATCGCATGCCTGCACGCCAAGATTGGGAGGTGCCACCGTACAAACAGTGACCAATCATCAACCTCTGTTTGTTTAACCTAAACCCCCATCCTGATCGTGATTAAGCTTCCTGCGTGTACACTTTACCCGCAATACCCGTACTGAATAAACGTGCTCCTTGCTACACGTCTGTTTCCTATATAGCTGGGCCATAGCTTAGCTGGTTCTGGGAGTCTAGCTAGATGTAGGGGAATTCTCCGTGCTACTCGTCTGTTTCCTTTATAGCTGGGCTATGGTTTAGCTGGTTCTGGGAGTCTAGCTAGATGTAGGAGAATCTCCCTGGTTCTGGGAGTCTAGCTAGACGTTGGAGAATCTGCCGTTCTGGGAGTCTAGCTAGATGTAGGAGAATCTGCCACAGATATAAACGCGCTCCGTGCTACACGTCTGTTTTCTTTATAGCTGAGCTATAGCTTAGCTGTTCTCTAGCTAGAGGTTGGAGAATCTGCCATAGAGATTTCTGATTCCTAGCTAGATGTTGGAGAATCTGCCATAGAAATTTCTGAGCCGGTAGCTAGATGTTTGAGAATCTGCCATGGAGATTTCTGAGTCGGTCTAGATGTAGGAGAATCTGCCAAAGAGATTTCTGAGTCAGGAGAATCTGCCATAGAGATTTCTAAGTCAGTCAGGCTTTACTTAGGGTGGAGTCAGTCAGGCTTTACTAAGGTAGCAATCCGCTACAATCCCAAGTATATTGATCCGATTCCACAGTGTTCATGAAGAATAGCTGCGAATTTTGTCAAAGGTCAATCATATTAACTGTATATTTCACCGTCAGACTTTTAAGAAAATAGTTCTGTACCACATTAATTCTTTGATATTATTGAATGGGTTAATGCTTCCAATTGTATATCAAATTCAAAGCTTCGTATTATTCAGAATATTATTAAATACTATAATAACCGAGACTGAACAAACAAATATCAATGACTCTTCGGACTAATTATTTAATGCGGTAAAACGAAGTGATATTTGAAACTTAAATGATATATTTATCAAAATAAGACCTAAAATTTACAATAAATGACAAAATGTATCCACGCGACGTCACTCTAAAAATGTATATAATCATCGAGTGTCTGTTTAATCATGACCTACTTCGGGACTAAACGCGGCCTTGTGAAATCGGCTCGATTCTGAGGTTCAATAGGAATAAACTAAAACTTGCTTGTTTACACCAATGCGGTGTGGCAAAGTGGCTTTTAGGTGGAAGTTAGAATAATTATTTCTAATGGCAGGCTTACGATATTTATCACTAGTTCCTTGGTTGACGTCGGCCTTCACAAGGGGGGGGGGGGGTTAGGGAGGAACAAATATATGGGCTTTAGAACACTTAACGGTAGTTCATTAGTTGACTTCTGGCTTCCCAGTATGTCTAGGTTACTATCGCTGTCTTTAGGGCTGAACACCGAATTAGGAGGGTTTTCACTGTTTCCTCCTGTAGGTCACATAGGGAGTATGTTGGTTGAGCGTATACACCTAGCCTGTAAAGGTGCTTCGCCAGGCTATCTTGACCGGTACGCAGTCTAAACTCAGCAACGCCTTCGATTCTTGGCCAGTCGGTAATGTCGGAGAGCTTTAAGTTTATTATAATTTGAGGTCTTGAATTCTCTCCTGATTAAGGTCTTTATTGTATGGAAAGACATCGGTCGGTCTATGCCTTGCACAATTGCTGTCCTCTTCATAGCAAGTGAGTCAACAAGCTCATTGTCTTTAATGCCACAGTGTCCAGATATCCACTGTAGAACCATTGTTTTGCTTTTTTCTCTCAGCAGCTGAGAGAGTTTTTTACATTCGTATATCTCAGCTGTTTTGAGTGGCTCTCTGTTTCCAATTGAGTTTATTGTTGCCTGTGAGCTCAAAAGAATTACTGCTTTGATGAATTTTGTATCCAGGCAACAAAATTGGCCTAGTACTATCTTAACAGCCTCTATTTCTCCTTCGAATGCGGATCTATTGTGTCCCGCTGCTGCGTAGAAAGAGAAGAACGGATCTATTGTGTCCGCTGTTGCGTGAAAGAGAAGAGTTCAGAATAGACACCTGCACCAACGTTTCCTTGGCTTTCCATGGCCTCAACAGTGCAGACTAGCCATTGATCTGCAGAATAGTTGACATTGATTGTCTCAATCCATTGATCTCATCAGTGAAGACTTGGAGCCATTGATCTAGGGATGTCATCAGCAGTGAAGACTTGGAGCCATTGATCTGCAGGATAGTTGACCCTCGAGGGGTGTTTGATTTCCTGAAGAAGTCAAGCAGTTGGGTGAGGGTGTTTGATTTCCTGAAGAAGTCAAGCAGTTGGGTGCATCACACTACATCAGTGTCTGCTAATGGGTTTATAGGTAGTGGGAGGCTTTTTGATTTGTCATCGATTTGTAATTCTTTCTTCAGTTCTATGACTTTCTGAATTAGACCGGATTACATTTTAAGGTATCTTGGTCTATCTTCGTAGGTGCTGAAGAATTTATCCATGGGAATACGCAGTAGCTTCTCATACAGGATCACGGCCTTCTCTTTGATAAGGGAGCATATTGTGGTGCTCCCTCTAACCAAGAGCACTGCATAAATTGGTGTTGATTTTATTCCTCCAGTAATTAGTCGCAATGCCTGGTTGTGGGCCTTCTTGAGTGACTTGAGAATCACTTCAGAGGCTGTAATAAGTGGCTCACAGCAATACAACATTATTGACTGAACAAACATCTTGTA